GTGCTCCCGCCGGCCGGGAGCCTCAGCGCCGTGCTGCGCGTAGGAACAGTCGCTGTGGCGTATGTGTCTCTAACGGCCGCCTGGAAATCCGGCAACAGCCGGCGCACTCTGTCGCCCTGTTCATTGTAACATAATACATTCATTCACCAGTGTCTGTCGCGGAGTGTGGACCGGTGACGGTTCGGATGACCGATGGCAGGGCCTGCGAGGTTTCACCGACAGGGAATGTCAGCGATTCCGTCGGGCTGCGTTTCTCAGTCGGTCAGTCAGATCGGGCCCGGTGTATTTGGCATAGAGGATATGACCACAGTGCCGATTCCCAACCTTCCGTCCTGATCAGCGACTGGTGAGGGAAACTGCACGGGGTGCAGACACCGGCTGTGCTGTTAGAACGGGGTGCTGCTCTCCGGCCGTGTCGAAATTGACACCATCTCGTCGCATCGCCCTTCGGGTGTTCATGTGCCTTGCAGTGACATAATTTTTACTGGTTGGGCGATCCTTCAGACCCCACCGTAGGCAGCGGCAAGGCGCGTGCTATGATTGTCACGTTACCAGGCCAGGCAGTACAGGCTTCGCGAGGGCCAGGGTGGTAGTTTCCTTCTCAGTTGTGGGCCCAACTTTGGAAAAAATGGGCCAAATCCGGGGAGAAACCCGTTTTGCCGGCGTGTGGTGGAGGAAGTTCAGTTAATTTCTCGTGGCGCACTGCCCCCCACCAACTAGCCCATATTGAATTTCGCGATACTAGGCGCCTGACCCCAGATTTCGGCCCGCATGCCATGGAAAATCTGTGGGCTGCGGACTCAATCGTCTTGGGCTGTCTGCGATGGAGCCGGGTGTGACGTCACGCGCTGTCCCTGGCGCAGCGAAGCGTATTGTGGCGCAGTTTGTGTTAACTTCTGTTTCGCAAAGCTGAAACGCCCACAGCGGTTAAGAAGAGGACCTTTTGGGTGGGAGCGGGGGGAGAACATATGTGTAAGTGCCTAGGTAATGTTTTACCCGGATAGTGAAACTCAAAGGTTCTTTGATGGCCTCAGTGCGAGAGAGTTGAAGTCTGCCGGAGTATACGCGTGAGACAGCCCAATTTCTGAAAGCATAGGCTCCGTGTACTGAAATTGGTGCCCACCATGCACCAAGCGAAGGGATCTGGGATTTTGAAACTGTTTTGTACGTGCGCCGAAATTATTGCCACAATGCCCCTGCTTTGTGTGGTGCAACATGCGTTTTTTGCAGTCTTGGCTTGAGGGTGAAGTTCCTATCTAAAGGGGCCAAGTCATGTCAGTTATTGCTGGGGCATCAGGTCATGCAGTGCTATCAAAGTCTGCAAAAAATCCAGCTCCTGCACCAGAATCCCATGTGTCTTCAGTGCACTGAACCTCACCCATGTGTGGGCCAAACCCATGTCAGGTCAGATTGTACTGAATTCCCAACTTTACATGAAGATATAAGTTTTGAGTATCTTTGCCTGACATTATCATTACAACATTACAATTTATTCAACCATGGGCTATCTATGTGCTGAACTTGGTGGTGGTGACCTGGTGTCAAACTCTAGGTGCTTAGATAACAAGTGCATGCTGTGCTGATACTGTTGCTGGGCTGGCCTATGCTTCACTGTCTGATATTTACTCACAACAAACCTAGTTGTAAGGGCATGCATTACGCCTCCTGTGTGAACAATCAGGAAACTACAACCACTATCTACTACAACTACTACAATCACAACTACAACTACTACAATCACAAACTACAGCCACTTCATATACTGCCTGCATCAGTGAACAATTTCTGCAAAGCTCATGTTTGCATTGCTTGATAGTTTGTTCTCACCATTTAAGTACAATCACATTCACTTTAATTTGGTTCTCTCGGCACAAAGGTAGTGGCCTGGTAGCAGGGCAGCTTATATGCTATGCATGCAGGATGGGCTGTACCAGAGGGTGGGGTAGAAGAGATTCAAATCAGGCACAAAGATATTTTGAAAGCAAATATGCATAGAGAAGTCAAAATATGTTGATTCCATAAAATACCTATATATTAACCCTCGACAAGGCAAGCATTCCAACATCTTATAATGTTGTATGCTTCACTTTAGGCAACTGTTTCAATGTTGCCATTATTAAAGCATGACTAGATGATCCCTCATGGTATGCAGGTCAAAGCATTGCACAGTCATAATGGTCAGAAGAAAAATGGAAAGAGCATTACCAATTGCACAACTTTTGTGAAGTAAAACTTGAAAAGCAAGTTTTGGTGGACATAGTTCCTTTAAAATAATTTCAATCTGATGATTATTTTGTTTTCTGCTCTTGGTCTATGGTGTAGGCAAGGTACATGTCAGGCTCATATGTCACCAGATATTTATACACCTGTCTGGTGCACAATGTCCCTTAAGACTTATTTGAATTTTGAACTTCTTGTACAGCATGGCATGAAGCAGAAACTTGTTTATAACATTTTTAGATTTGCTGTTTACTGACCAGGTGTTATTGCCCCAGGTCTGAGTTATTTCAACACTGCAGCTGTTTTTTCTATGTTTGTTTAAAATGCTTGCTGCTGTTTCAGGGAAATGACACAACACACCTAAGCTCACCAGTTGCCTGCAGCACCCTGCTGTGACCACAACCCTCAACCCAGCCCCGCCCCTGCCCCCGCCCCTCACACGTCCGCCCCTCCCGCGCGCCAGCCATGCCTCTGTTCTTTCCGTTGGGCTCGGCCACGGCGCTGGAGCCGGGCGTCAAGTCAACGCTGCTGTTCCTCTGGCACCTGGCCTGGAAGTGCCGCATGCGGCTGCCCGTGCTGCTCACCGTCACGCTGCTCGTTATGGACGCCAGGTGAGAGCTTGTGTACAGTGTGCTTCGAGGCCGAATGCTGTATGTTTCAAATGTAAGCTAGTTAGTTGTCCATTCTTCGTGTGAAGTCTGTCGGCGCTGCTTCGCGCGAAGTACTTCGTGCGCGGCGCTACTTCGAGCGCGGGCTGTACACAGTTGGTTAAGGTCGTGTTTAGATTTTGCATAACTGTGAGCGAGATGTTAACGGTCGCTCAGTCATCTGGCCGACGCCTCACTGAGCGACCAACCGACCGGCAGCGAGCCGCGAAGCGATTCTCACGAGCAAAAAGTGCGCTGTCGAAATCGTTGTGTGTTTATATAGATTAAAGCCGAACCCGAGAGTTTATGACGTTTGTGGCAGGTGAGTCGTTCCACTGATCTCTTATTTAACTTCAGCGTATTCAGCATGACTCATCACTTGTCACGGCATCACGCCCGTGACGCCGAGCCCGTGACGCTGAGTCCGTGACGCTGAGCCCGTGACGCTGAGCCCGTGACGCTGAGCCCGTGACGCCGGGTCCGTGACGCTGAGCCCGTGACGCTGAGTCCGTGACGCTGAGCCCGTGACGTTGAGCCCGTGACGCTGAGCCCGTGACGCCGAGTCCGTGACGTTGAGTCCGTGACGCCGAGTCCGTGACGCCGAGTCCGTGACGTTGAGTCCGTGACGCCGAGTCCGTGACGCCGAGTCCGTGACGCTCACGTTATGCGCAGGATGCGTATTGAGATCAACATGGACGTGGACGAGGTGGAGGACGGTCCCCTGGTGGACGACCTCTCCGAGGAGGAGGAGGAGGAAGAGGAGGACCTGACCCTCGGCGACGACGAGGAGGACGAGGAGGAGGACTCGGACGAGGCCCTGTGGCCGCTTGAGTCGGACGAGGAGCTGCGGTGACCTGTCCTGCCGGCGGCCGCGCCCCTCCGCCGCCACGTCCGTTCAGCGTGGGTCCGCGGGACCGCGGGACCCCGTGCCACGCTGACGACGGCGAGGGCCGCGTCGGGATGCTGAGGCCGGGACGCGAGCGGCGGCGCTGATGATCTGACGTCATGCGGTCGTGATCTGACGTCACGCGGTGATAATCGGACGTGATTGGGTGATAGGCGGACGTGAGCGGTCACTGCGCCTTCGCCCCTGGCGGGACATCCTCCGCCGCTGTGAAGGTCTGACGCAGGGTGGCCCGCGGCGGCTGCCCGGCGACGACGTGAGCCGTGCTGCCGTTTAACGATCGACGCTGTTCTCAACCGTGTTCTTGTTTGATTCGTTTGAACTTAATGAGCGTGACGCCATGTCTGCAATACACTGGTGACCATTTTGTCATGGGACTCCCTTTCTGCGCTGGACGAGGACAGGCAGCTGCACGGAAGCCTGGCGCGGGTGACATTGTCCCCAGCCCGGTGACATTCCTCTCCGTGAGCCGCGCCCCCTCACGTGCGTCCCTGTTGACCGGTGTCCAGACCGCGCCGCCCGCGGCGTGCCGGTGCGCGCCGGAAGCGGGCCAGGTCGCCGGAAGCGTCGCCCTTCCGCCGGAAGTCGCCCGCTGGCCGGGGCGGACCAGCTGACCGGCTGACGTGGGGGTGCGCCGGGTCGGACGGCGCTCCTGACATGCTGCTGACCCCAGGTCTATTAGGCTTGACCTAAGGTCTAGAAGACCATGTAAGGTCTAGTAGACGACGTAAGGTTTAGTACACTTGACCTAAGGTCTAGTAGACGTGGTGTAAGGTCTGGTAGCCTTGACTGAAGGTACAGCAGACTGCACTTTTTCGCGACCCGGGCTTTCGGAGGCAGACGAGATGCTTATAGCCTGCTCACACGACGTTACCACCTTACGATGGCTTGCGATGAAAGGTCTCCATCCCACTTCTTGACATACGACACGCCTCTTTCTCATCCCATTCCCTTTCCATGCGTGTTTGGTAAACCATCTCTTGATTACAGCTGCTAAGTAGGTCACTTTGAGTCATTCACCTTATGAGACTGCGGTTTTGAATTTATAGGACCACTCAACCGAAAAAAAACACCACCCTCCGCGGACTTCAGTCGGCAGCGCGGGTGACATTTCGTCCACCGCTCTGACGCCGTACGCTGCTCGCTCCTGATAGGCGGAGCCGGTCGGCGCCGCTCGCCCGGTTCGGTACAAAAGCGCGGGCGGCGGCGGCAGCTGGGCCAGCTTCACTATGCCGACCGCGCGCGTGACGCTCTGCCTTCTGGTGGCGGCGGCGGCCCTCGGCCCGGCCGAGCCGCTGCCTGACATCAGGAGCATCGTGGCGCGCGTGGTGGACGACGCCCGGCAGCAACTCGTCAGCGTGAGTGGCGCGGCTCCGCTGGCTCACCATCCGGCCGTCTTACCGTCCCCCTGCCTCACCATCCAGCCGTCTTACTGTCCCCCGCCTCACCGTCCGGCCGTCTTACCATCCCGCTGTCTTGCCGTTTCGTCGTCTTACCGTCCCGCTGCCTCACCGTCCCGCTGCCTCACCGTTCCGCTGCCTCACCGTCCCGCTGCCTCACCGTCCGGCTGCCTCGCCATCCGACTGTCTCACCGTCCCGCTGTCTTACCGTCCCGCTATTTTGCCGTCTCGCTGCCTCATCGTCCGGCTGCCTCACCATCCGTCTGCCTCACCGTCCGGCCGCCTCACCCTCCGACTGTCTCACCGTCCGGATGTTTTACCGTCCCGCTGTCTTACCGTCTCGCTGCCTCACCATCCGACTGTCTCACCGTCCGGCCGTCTAACCGTCCCCTGCCTCACCATCCGGCTGTCTCACCGTTCCGCTGTCTTACCGTCCTGCTGTCTTACCGTCCACCTGACTCACTATCCGGCTGTCTTACCGTCCGCTGCCTCACCATCCGGCTGTCTTACCGTCCCGCTGTCTTGCCGTCCCGCTGTCTTGCCGTTTAGTCGTCTTACCGTCCCACTGCCTCACCGTCCGGTCGTCTTACTGTCCCGTTTTCTCACTGTCCGGCTGTCTCATCGTCTGCCTGTCTCACCGCCCGCCTGTCTCGCCGTCCCGTTGCCTTACCACCCTGCTGCCACCATCCGACTGTTTCACCGTCCCGCTGTCTTACCGTCCCGCTGTTTTGCCGTCTCGCTGTCTTACTGTCTCGCTGCCTCACCGTCCGGCTGTTCACCATCCGGCTACCTCACCGTCCGGCTGTCTCTTGGTTACTTTGCGGGCTCACTTCCCCACAGCATTCGCGCATGTTCTGAGTGGCCTCGTGCGGGTTTCCTGTGTCGCGACGGTCTCGCTTCTCAGTTTGTGAGCGGTCTGTCTCACTGCGGTGCTTCTGTCTCCCAACAGTGTCTCACAGTGTCACTGCGGCTTCTCTATCTCACTGCGTTCTCGGTGCGTCTCAGAGGCTTGAGGTTCTCGGTGCGTCTCAGTCTCATCGGCCCCGTTGTTCTCCACCGCCTCAGATGTGCTGGCATTTAGACGTGCTATTCAGCGACAGCGTATCGGACGATCGCGGATGCCGCCGCGATCCCGCACCTCCTCACCACTTCATCCTGCCATCCTTCATCCTCCTCACCACTCCATCCCTACCTGCCGTCGCCGACTGACGCTGCCTCCCTTGCCACAGGCTATCGGCTTCTGCTCGGCCTCAGCCGCCAAGCAGGCGGCGCCGTTCCAGTGCGTGGCGGCCCCCATACCGTGCCCGGACGACGAAGATCCCATCACCATCGGCAAGGAGACCTTCTGCCAGGCCGCGTGCCCGGCCGGCCTCGACACGCTCGACCAGGCCGACATGTTCGTGTGCGTCATGGTGCGAAAGACGGCCTGAGGCTCTGATGACGTCACACTGCCGGCGGACGGAGGGCTGCGCCGTGCGGGACTGGCGATAACGTCGCGCGAGGCTGGTGACGTTACTGCGGACTGGCGCGCTTTCGAACTGGTGACGTCATGCTGGACTGGTGACGTCATGCCGGGCTGGCGGCGATGTCATAATGACCTGTTGATGGCGTCACACCGGACAGGTGGCTACAGCATATCGAACCAATATGCCGTGATATCATATAGTTCACATCGAATTATACATGCCATGATGATATCATATTTATTGTTAGACTGGCGATGGCGTACCAATGCACTGGTGACGTCAAACCTGACCAATTTGTACGCTGCACAACACTAGCGTGTTATGACGTCATCGACACCGCTGAACAGCATGCCGTGACGAATGACACTTCCTCGAAGCTGCGCCATGCTGATCGTCTGAACTTTGCCAGCCGAGAAAGCTTTACTTCGCCGACATGTCTTTCGGTCATCCACTGACGTCACAAGAGCAAGCGCTATTTCTGCGTTGGCCGCGGTTCGGTCCCTGGTTGGACGCAGAAGCCTCGGCGGCTGGCCCGCACCGCGTCGCAGAGCGCGGATCCGTCCCGGTGTGGGCCGCAGCTCCAGAGCCCCGTCGCCGGCCGGTGGCGGTGCGCATGTCGGCCTGTACGGACTGCGTTACACACACATGAGCACGCCATAGCTGTCTTGTCTGTGCGTTTGACGGTGGGCTGAGAGTGTTACCAGGATGAGCGCGACGCAAGTAAATGCAATGGCTTGGCTGCTGTTTTTCTGGAGGTTGGGGCTTGATGAGGGTTGATTCAGGGCGTAACGGTGGACCGGCGGCTCGCAGAGTTTACTGTGACTGACCGCGCCTGGGCCGCGCTCCCCATCACCAAATGCCATCCACAGTTGTAACCTATGATGTCATAGGTAAGTGCGTCACGACGGTTCTCACGGTTTGGAGGATAGTCTCTTGTGTATGACGTAGCCCCTTGCGACGTCATAGATAGCGACTCAGACAGGTGCTTTATCAATGGGGAACGTGGCCCAGGCGAGGCGTTCTCCTTAAGTCGCGGGGCAATCTCGTCAATCAGGTGTGACGAACCGCTCTCCCCTACTCCGGCCCCAGCCGCTGAGCGGGGGGGGGGGGGGGCTCCGCCCGTCACGCGCGCTGTGGTGTGACGCCAGCTGTCACCGACGAACGTAGCAAATGTGCGGGGTGGACACGATCAGTTCTATTCAACAGTCACAATCGGTCAGCAGCACGTGCGCCCAGCGGCCCCCGCTGCTGCGGCCCGCAGCATTGCACAATGTCCGACGTCACCGCCAGAGCCACGGTTGGCATGACAGTACGGTCCAGTAACACCATTCATATGCAGCACAACGCTGAAGTTCAGCTTCACTCCGTTCCTCGACGCACGCACACCGCTAATGGGTAGTTCCTTTGCGGCGGGGGTTATGTCGCAAAGCCCAAAGCGGATGTTCGTCGGCCAGGTGCACCGTACCCCAGACGCTTACGAAGCCGCCGCTAGATGGCAGTATTGTACACTGAGATCCCAGCAACGAGGTCGAGGCCTCCGTCGGGGATTTCCGCCGAGTCTCTGGCGGTCGCCGCCAGCTGGCGCTCCGCGCTGGACCGACGGTCGTCGGTGGTTTGTCGGAGCCGGCCAATATTCCAGTCGGAAGGTCAGCGACGAACAGCAGCCGACGTTCTCCGGCCGGCCGACAACGGTTTGACAAGCCTGCCGGTAGATGGCAGTCGGGCCGCCGCGCAGGACGCACACCCGACCCCTGACCGCGGACCGTATAGACCCATGCCAGGCCTCGGCCATCCCGGTCCGAACTGTCACTGCGTGAGTCATCACGCGTTCCAGCCCACGTTTCTCCCGGCCGGCGAGCCATTCCTCAGTCACGAGTCCACTCGACTCGCCTGAGTCCGAGCCAGGGTCAGCTTAGTATCGGCTCAGCGTGATCAAAACACCTGGTTGGCGGCCTTCACTGCATCACCAGGGCGGTGCTCGCCACTCAAGAGCAAGGCAGCGTTCGCTACCGCATCTGAACGGAGAAGTGTCTTCTGCAGCAGAAGTACGAAGTTCACCTCGGCCACACAGTACTCCCCACAACATTGGCCAGACCATGACGCCCGCCACTGCGGCAGACATCGGCGGTACCACTACAAAAGGCAATCATCAACCGCGCAGCACCGGCTACCGCACCGGTTGGGCTACAGCACCGGCTACAGCATCAGCTACAGCACGGGCTACAGCATCAGCTACAGCACGGGGTACAGCACCGGCAACAGCACCGGCTGCAGCACTGACTGCGGCAACCGGCTGCAGCACCGGCAGCAGCAGAGACTGCAGCACCAGCTACAGCACTGGCTACAGCACCGGCTACAGCACCGTGCTCAGCTCCTCCTCGTGGAAGTAGCGGCCGCTGAAACTGTCGATGTCCTTGTCGATGTAGTCGCTGTGTTCGTTGAAGCTGCTGTCCAGCTGCAGTTTGCTGCGCGGTCCGCCGTAGACTGGCGGCGGCGGCGGCGGTAGGCCGGCGCTGCTGCCGCCCGAGTGGCCGCTCTGGCCGTCCGTCGTCGTGTCGGTGAAGTCGGACGTGCGCTCGCGCTCGACGCGCGCGCTCCGCACGTGCTTCAGCTTCTCCAGCGGCCAGTCCTTGTAGGTGGGACGCGGACCGCGGTGCGGGTGCGCTTCGCCGCCGGGCGCCGGCAGCGAGCGCGGCGGTCGCGGCCAGCTGGCCGCCGCCAGGCTGTGCGCGCTGGAGGCGGGGCGCAGGCTGGCCGCCGGCCGCGACCACCCCTCGTCCACGAACAGGTCGCCGTGGCCGCCGTTCAGCTGGTGCACGAACACGGGCTTGCCGGCGCACTCCTCAGGCAGCAGGTGGAGGCCGGTGGGCACGCTGCAGTTGTGCGCGCGGCCTGCGGCCTGACGCGCCAGGCGCGCGCCGCGCGGTCGCCGCCGGCCGCCCGGCGCCGCCACCTCTCGCTTGCGGTACTTAGTGCCGCCGCGCGGCGGCGCCGGGCGGTTGCGCTTCTCGCCGGCCCCGATAGGTGGCAGGCTCTGCGCGCCGTCCAGGTGGTCCTCCTCCTCGATGATGGCCTGGCTGATGCTGAAGTGGGAGCCGGTGACGAGGCTGCTCTCTGGGCGGGACAGGCGGCCGGCTGCCGAACGGGGACGACTCGACGGCGCATGCGCAGTCGGCACGGCCAGGTACTCGATGTGCGGAGCCGAGCCAAATTCCTGCAAAGAACAGGAGATAATGCTGTTTGTTCCGTTTGTTACGCCGCAAGCATACCCACTCGGGAGAAAACGACAATCCAGATAATTACCTACAGCTCTAAAAATTATTTATTCATATCAGATACCAACTTGCTGTGATAGGACGTGCCGATAGGCACGTAGCCTAGATTTTGCTCAGTGTGGGAGTGCAATTGTCAAATTTTCTCCAAAATCGTATGAGTGTAATCCGAAATCTCGTGAAAGATCTACCAGCATCTAGTGAAGGCTTTTTGCTCAGGGATGGGAGATGGCCCACTTGGCCCTTCCCATGATGACCACCCTTCTCAACGACGACAGCGTCAAAGGTGCATTGCGTAGTCGCCATCCGTTTCTATTTGCAATCACTGGCACCTGCATGTTTAACGCCGGCTTCTGATGCGCTCGATTGGCCAGTGTAATACTCTATCGTCGTGACTTCTTAGCCATACAAGTCAATCCTCGTCGAAGTTCAAATAAATATTCACCATCGTTGAGATGAGAAGGAACGCACAGTGCACTCGCCGTGAATATGGGAAACCCAGTGGCGTAGGTCCTTGAGCCATCACGTTCACTTCACACCCCACCGACCCCCCCCCCCCCCCCCCACCGTCATCCTGCGACCGGACGAGGTCGGCGCCGCGGCCTACCTTGGAGATCTTCTGTCGTTTGTAGCGCTTGAGCAGCCGCTCCGCCCAACCCAGCAGTCGCTGCCAGTCGGCCGGCAACCGTGCAGATCTGCTCCTCCTTCCTGTTCAGCAGCGTCAGGATCCGCGACAGGTCACGCAGGATCGAGCTGCCGGTCAGCCGTGAGGTCACGCAGGATCGAGCGGCCGGTCAGCCGTGAGGTCACACCTCAGGTGGAGGTCATGCCTCAGGTGGCTGTCACGCCTCCGGCGGAGGTCACGTGTCAAGTGGTGATCACGCGTCAGGTGGAGGTCACGTCTCAGGTGGAGGTCACGTCTCAGGTGGAGGTCATGCGTCAGGTGGAGGTCACGCCTCAGGTGGAGGTCACGCCTCAGGTGGAGGTCACGCCTCAGGTGGAGGTCATGCGTCAGGTGGAGGTCACGCCTCAGGTGGAGGTCATGCATCTGGTGGAGGTCACGTCTCAGGCGGAGGTCACGCCTCAGGTGGAGGTCACGCATCTGGTGGAGGTCAGGCGTCAGGTGGAGGTCATGCGTCAGGTGGAGGTCACGCCTCAGGTGGAGGTCACGCCTCAGGTGGAGGTCACGCGTCAGGTGGAGGTCACGGGTCAGGTGGAGGTCACGCGTCAGGTGGAGGTCACGCCTCAGGTGGAGGTCACGCCTCAGGTGGAGGTCACGCGTCAGGTGGAGGTCACGCGTCAGGTGGAGGTCACGCCTCAGGTGGAGGTCACGCCTCAGGTGGAGGTCACGCGTCTGGTGGAGGTCACGCATCCGGTGGAGGTCACGCGTCAGGTGGAGGTCACGCCTCAGGTGGAGGTCACGTGTCAGGTGGAGGTCACGCGTCGGGTGGCAGTCAACAACGCCTTCAGTAGCTGAGGCTATATGACGTTGCATGCCGCCTCACCCTGGCGGGAAGCGCGGGCACCGCGGAAATTCGAACTCCATATCCCTGGTTTCCCAGACGCGCAACTTAAAATCCACTGCGGGCAATCTCAGCAGGCCGACGTCAGGCAACGATGGCAACCGCGCAGTTGGCAGACCAGAGCTACTGTCGTCATTTATCAAGTGATCAGTCAAGAGGATGTGTAAGGTCAGAGCTCATAGAGCTAGCCAAATAATACGTTAGTCAAACAGCCCCGACCCCCCTACAGAACCGAGAACGCTCCCTTATGACCATTCGTGTGTGCTTCCCATTGCGCCGCAGGTAAGATCGGCATGCAGATGCTGCTCGTTGTCCTGACTGTTATCATAATTGGTGTCGTCATGGGGTCATGGGGATTTTTTGTATCCATCGTACAACACCCACTTGCTTTAGTAAAGCGACAGTATTTCAGATTAGTTAGTAGTATTTTTACATTAGTACATTAGTATTTCAGTTACTTCAGATTTTGTTTTTGCTCATCTAAAACGTGTTACTAATGTGGGACTGTGAAGGAAACAGGTTTTGTTTATACCAACGCCTCTCTCACCGGTATGCTCTGTTCTTTGTGTCTACAGTGGAGTCCCGTCGTTTTCCGCTCTTGCTGTCGAACTTCTTCCGGGTGTCATTCAGCATTTCCAGAAAGTTCTGAGTTTCGGGACGCAGGGCTTGAAGTCGCGTCAAAAACTGAATCCGCTCCAGGTCGTTGGCCGTGCCAGCGTCTGAAGAAGGACGAAAACCTGGCTTAAGTCGCGATGGCACAAGCAATAAGACTATTCATGAGCGTAGGGTGCGTAGCGGCAGATGTTGGAGCACCTCCGTTCGATTGTCTCGCAGTCCATGTCAAAAGCCTCTTAGCCATTTCTGGTTAAACGTCCTACAAGCGCGTTGAGACCCGTCGTGGCTCCAACCAACAAGATATGTAGGCACCATTTTTAATCCAGC